GTCCAATCCTGCTGTTTTGTTTGGATTTACCATATTATTCTTCTATATTATTCGAGTTAATAAGATCTTATCTACTTTTTATAGCTTAACAAAAAAAGGCAGTAAAAGAAAATAAATACAAATTTTTAATAAAGGAAGCCTGGCTTCAGAAATCCTCTTTTACAATTTTTTAAAGAGTTAAATGTATTTAGTCTTAAGTATGTAATAATAATTTACTCAATATTAAGAGGAATGTATTTTCCAACACGCTATATGCCATACATGTACCATTAAAATAATATGTATCGTTAAAATATAATAATAGTAAAGTTAGCTTTTCTTAATGTAATTTTAATTATGATTTAAGGTCGCAGCACAGTCTCTTGTATAACGCATAGTACATAAGCGAATCAACTAATCAGAATCTTTCCTTTCCTCCCATTCCATGGAAAAGAAAAATTTCGATTGGTCGATTTTCTTATGCACTATGCATTATGCGAGAGTGTGTGCTGTGGCCATTATAATGATCAAAAACAGGTAAAAAACGAAATTAAACGCGATAGAGATTTTATGCTAATATACAAGATAACTAAACGTCAAACAGAATATGTATTAAATATTTGATTTAACAAAATTAATTTTATTTAAGTCATTTATTTCAGAAAGAAATCCAAACAAAACAGCAGTATGAATGGAACATTTGTTAATGTAACCTACAGTAGTGTCTGTATCTGAACTTGTACTTGGTTCTTGGTTTTTTAAAAAGTTTGTTTTCCAATATGTTATAAAAATTATACGTGGACCTACTTCCGGAATAAGTTCAGCGATTAATTTTTCATTTAAGTTTTTCATTAACTCCATTGTGATTCCGTTTTCTTTAATTAAAATATAAATGAAATTAATATTTCAATTATAAAATATGAAATTATTTTAGAATAATTTTGTCATAGAGAAAAGATAAAATTTTCTGCTGTAAAAAAAGTAATAATATAAATAATGGTGCACGATTTCGTCACACACAACAAATTTTTGAACTGATCTAATCTAAGATCTAAAACATCCTTAAGCCGGGATCCCACGACGCGTGGTTTGCCATAATTCATGACTTGGTTCATTCATACTCGTCACAAATTCGACTCTCGAATTGATAAGAAACAGATTAAAATCGCGATTCCACGGTGCACAAAATGTTGCCGGGCCATGATCTTCAACGAAATTGTCATGGTTTGACGAGCTTCTACGCGCCGTAAAAGATTTTAACCTGTTTTTTATTCTTACCAATTCGAGAGCCAAGATAAAACTATTTACAGCGCGTAGAAACTCGCCGTGACAAGTCTTGACGAGGTTCGAGTGAAACAAGCCACGCGTCATCCCTGCATGATTATAGATGGTTTCCAACAAGCAATTCAGTATAACACAACGATCATCTTATCCTTGTTTAACATTGGCGAACAACAAGGGTGTAATAATACACTGTGTCACACCGTGTCATGTGTATTTCTTGTTGGAAGCCACCTTTTATAGGGTACGTCGCAATCATCAAACTAAACTTCGAGTCGAACCTCGAGACATAAACATTTCGGTAAGTATTTGATGCACGACAAAAGACAATGAAATACTCGAAACTTGAAATTCGGCTCGAGATTTAGTTCGATAAACTGGACGCATTTTTAAATTACATGTTTGCATGCAAATATTATACGAATAATCCACTTACTGTACTTGAGTAGGGTTCTCAATGTGATTATTAACTCACGCAATTTCCACACGTCTAATTGTCGTTGAGAAGAAGGTTGAATGTATACACACATACGAAGATGTCCGGCATTTGTGCAATGGCGGAAGGGATCATGGGAAAGAGAATCGTATATATAGTACGATCCGCACGGTTGCATCAGAAAAGCGATAAAATGATTGGCTACCGTGTTCCTCTCTCGATTGGCAGTTGCCTGACGCGCGACAAGCGTTTCCGTATGCAAAAACAATAAGACGATCTTAAATATAAGAGCATACGTTCTTATTTTAAAACCGTCTTAGATTCTGCGTATAATGAAAGAATATTAAATAGTAGAAATAGGAATCAGAATTTTAGAATCAGTTTTCTCAATAAACACTATATGTAAATAAATAGTTATATTGTGTCTTGTGTATAGATGATCACTGTATAAGTGCTTAGTGAATTACATTCTTTGTTGAAAACACATTTTAGGATTTGTGCAAAAAATTTTCAGAAAAACATTAAAATAAAAGAAAAAAGTTTGTACATAAAAAAATGCATTTTAAAATTAAAAGAATATATTTATTATAGAAACAAATTTCTTTTTGTTTTTGTCAGTTATATTTACTTTAATTAAGTATACGTTTCTTTAAATATAATAAATTGTTTTAAGAAAATTTATATTTCTTATAAGTAACCCATTTACTACCTTTGTAATTTCGGAAACTTGAATTTAAACAAATATTTACTAAAGCGTTAAATTTAAAATTAAAAGATCCGGAAACAATATTTTAAAAATTAATTTACTAAATTTCAACAAATATTATGCTAAAATGCATGAAATCCGAATTAGACTCAAGTAAATTTATGAGCAAGAAGTCAATTTCTAACTTTAATGCTCCGATTTACTATAATTAAGAAAAAAGTTTTATAATGTATTATAATAATTATTTATTTAAATTTAGTAAATTTAATTTTAGTAAATCTATTTACTAAAATTAAGAAAATTTTTTTCTCAGTGTACTATAATACTTATAATATGATTCTAGTTTTAGTTGTAAAATCTCGAATCTTGTCATAACAGCTAGAAATTCTTTCTAATTGTTGTGACAATATCCGAGATTTGGTTCAAATATAATGCATTTATTTATATACGCACACGTCTTATCAAACCATAAGCAAACCATAATCAAACAAAATTTCTCATGCATTACTGCAAGAAGGTCTGTTATATACCTGCGTCATAAGAACAATTGTAGCAGACAAAACTGTGGAATACATCTGAAAGAAGGTATGCTATCATTATACTTAATGAAAATGGTTTTGTTAACCTTTTCGCTCAGAAAGTGGGTGGTTCACCGGAATACTGCCATTGATCGGTGTATGCGCTGACGCACATTTCAATTCTGGCGCCACTTTACTCATGCGATCATCCATGTTGTTTTTTTTTTGGTATTGCGAGCGAAATAAGTGGTGGCAGTTCAGTTCTCTGTTGGAATAGATATTGTAAAAGACAAGAGCAGTTTGGTGCTTGATCAATAAATTTCTGGATATTCAATTAACATACCTTGTGTAATTAATTTGACAAAAAGAGTGTACGCATACACATGTGAGACGTCTCACAAGACGAGAAATTACTCGTTGTCATGACATGGTCCTTCGAGCCGGATTCATCTTCACAGCGAAGTTTGCAAAAAATATATACATATACAAGGTGCGAGATATCCAACTATGCTAACGTATGAACGGATGACTTAATTAGTGATCACCGTTCGAGTTGGCAGTCACTAAATCACAGCGGGGGGAACTGTTATGAATTGGCTGCATGGTTTGATGCATCGTTTCTGTCGATTGAGTTATCAAAAGTTCCTGACGCCATTTTGGACATCGGCACAGCATTGGCAGCAACCGTTATTGGCGCGGCAGTCACCACGTTGAAGTTTCTGACGCCATTTCGGATATCAATGCAGCATCGTGACGACAATCGTTTAGCAAGGCAGTCACCACGCGGCGCTTCTCATCAAGTCAACAAGTCTACCAACCTACATCATTTCGAATTAGCGACGTGCATCGGAATATAACCTGTACTGCGGACTATATGATTGTCAATTCAAACAAGTAATTGTTAATCGAAAACTATCGGACATAAATTCGTGTAAGTCAGAATACAGTATAGTTTTTAAGTCGTAACATTTCAGAGTAGAATAATTATATGCAGCGACAATAAGGCTACAAACGTCAAAATGTCTAACCTTATAGGAGGCAAAAGGTAAGCGCAAGGTTATTAAGGCAGCGGTCACCCGATTGAAAGGGTTTATCGAATCAGTAGAAATTGCACACACTTCACGTTTCGAGCTAACGGAAAGATCAGAAAGATTAAGGATATTATGGAATCAGTATGATGAAGTGCAAACGCGAAATGCTGAGTGTTGTTGACACTAGCGATGAGAGTCAAATTGACATTCAGCAGGCCGATGATAGAGGTAGTTTTGAAGAAGCTTATTTTTCTCTGATAGCAAAATTCGAAACGGCAATTAGTGAAATTAATATTCGCGAAGCTCAAATCGAACGCAATTCTCAGAATTCCAATACACAGTTGAATAACGATACCTCTTTCACAGATTCGACTACCTAAAATTGAGTTACCAAGTTTTTCGGGCGCAAGTGAAGATTGGTATTCCTTTTATGATACATTTGAAAAATTAATTCACTCAAATTGTAATCTAGCAGCTGTTCAAAAATTCCATTACCTGCGTTCGTCTTTGAAGGGTGAAGCATTGGACATCATAAAATCAATCGACATAACTGCGGAGAATTATGTTGAAGCATGGGAATCACTGATTGAACGTTATAACAATCGTCGACGCATCATTCAGGATCACGTGAAACAACTAGTAGAATTACCGTATATCACAAGAGAAAATCACGTACAATTGCGGAATTTACTCAGCAACGTACTCAAACATTTACGCGCTCTTAAGACACTAGAAAGACCTGTAGATACGTGGGATGATTTGGATAATACATTTCATTTCGTCCAGGCTTTATCCGGTTACAAAACGAGAATGGGAGACAAGTCGCACGGATAACTCAGTACGAACTTTCAAACAATTTAAGGATTTTTTGTCACAACGATGTTCAGCTTTGGAGGCAATCGCCAGCAAGACCACTAGCACAGTTTCATCCACCGATACGAATACATTAAATCAAAAAACAAAATGAGCAGTCAGTTATGCAGCCAGCACAAATGTGAGTTGCGAATGTTGCAAGGAATGTCACTTCTTGTATCAATGTGATTCATTTAAGGAACTTCCTGTCGACAAACGATTCAAACTGGTGAAAAACGCACGCCTGTGTATTAATTGTTTAAAAACAAGCAATCATCAAGTTAAGAATTGCACTTCCGGATTCTGTCGAAAATGCAGTAAGGCGCACAACACACTTTTACATTTCGAGACTACAGGAGACGAGAATGAAACGGATCTCGTATCAAACACTGAAAATTCACAGGCACCAGTGGTTACACAATGTTCTCAACAAGGTTCGTCAAAGAAGGTATTATTATCCACAGCGATAGTATATGTTTTTGATGCTCAAGGCAAGAGTCACACGTGTCGTGCGCTGTTGGATAATGGATCACAGCTGAATTTCATCACCGAAACATTGGCGAACAAATTACAATTGAAACAGCAACATTTAAACATCGCCATTTCTGGAGTAGCACAAGGGGGTATCAACGCAAGAAGGTCTGTCAACATTCTTTTACAATCCAAACACAATAGCTATCGCGAACGAATGGACTGTGTAATCTTGCATAAAATCACACAAAATTTATCTCAAGAATTTGTGGACATATCACAACTAAAAATTCCGTCCAACATTTCATTAGCAGATCCTCATTTTAATATTCCAGACAACATTGATCTTTTGATCGGCGCTGAGGTGTTCTGGCAATTGCTCTGTATTGGTCAGATCAAACCATGCAGGGCACATCCTACCATTCAGAAGACCAAACTCGGTTGGATTATTTCTGGCCAGATCCTCAACAATAGTCAACTTAATGAGAACCGCACTTGTCATTTATTCACAATGGATGACTTGAATAACACCATCTCTAAATTCTGGCAAATTGAAAATAACTATTGCAATGATACCTTTACGCGATCACCCGAAGAGCGTAAATGCGAAACTCATTTTTTACAAAACACTACGCGTAATTCTGATGGAAGGTATATAGTAAAACTTCCAATCAAGGAAGATTCAATAAGCCAATTAGGCAATTCTAAGGAGATCGCAAAACGGAGATTTTACGCACTGGAAGGACGATTGGCCAAACAACCTGATACGTATATTGCTTATCGTAACTTTATGAATGAGTACCAGTCCCTAAACCACATACAGGAAATCAAGGACATTACTGATGATAGGTCATGCAATTATTTACCGCATCATGCAGTGTTCAAGGAAACAAGTGCAACGACAAAAACACGAGTAGTTTTCGATGCATCATGTAAAACTGACTCAGGAAAATGTTTGAATGACATGTTACTCGTCGGTCCAACAATTCAACAGGACCTATTTGCAATTTTAGCAAGATTTCGTACATTTGCGGTGGCGATCACAGCCGATATCACGAAAATGTACCGGTAAGTGCTAATTCATCCAACCCAAAGATCACTTCAACGCATTCTCTGGCGAAACAATCCCCAAGAAGATTTAAGGGTGTAACAACCTTACTTTATGCTCGGACG